CCCTCGTTCGTTAAGAAACGAACACGAACAATGACTTCACAAACATTTTTGAACACGAGCATATTTCAAACAAACTAAATTTCAAATGAACCGAACACGAACACAAGCTCTGTTCGTTCGTGTTCAGTTCATTTACACCCCTACGTACCACCCATTTCTTATGTAATTACACATCTAACACGAACTTTAATTTTACATATATGCCTTACCTACCTAAGATGTATTTCACATTTTCAAATTTAAAATAGTGATCTTTTGGCCGTGATATGAATTATTTGGATATTCCAAATGTAAAAAAGCAAAATTTGGCCATTATATATATGCAAAATACATAGAAATTAGATGACATGTATAAAAATGTCTAATAACAAAAAGGAAGATTAACATACATACCACTCAATGCTCATGTAATTACATATCTAACACCTAAACTTTAAATGGATGGTATAAATGTAAAAAAAAGAAAAACAAAATAAAATTTAAATGTTAGATATGTAAATGCACCCATAATCATAAGAAGAAACAAGGGGCACTAACATCACAGCCATGGGGAGCAGCGACCAATGTAAATAACAGAAACACGTGACATGATACGTCATACGTTGCAAGGGTGGGGGATCATACTTTCAGGGGCATGAATATGTACTGGCCTAGATTTGAACATGTCCTGGGTTTAGCATGCAAACCCCATGTGCAATGGCGACTCGCGCAGTGCATCCATACTATGATGCCAGGAAGAAAAAGATATTTTAAAAATTAAACTGAGCTTCTTATGATTCATACTTTCAACTAGGTTGGTGATTTATATTCAAGTTATTCTTCTTGCTATCCATCCATAGGGAAGAAATATTGCCACCGGCCCCCCACATCGCCCGATATATGGAGGACGTGCTCTATCTGGAAGCAATCTTTTCTCATCCAAAGGGGGTGCTTTGTAGCATACTTTTAATAGAATTTAATCATAAATTTAACGTAAATCTAATCAAACAAGTGTGCCCGCACATGTATCTATATCTAACACTGTTAAATTGATATTTTTCGAGTTCCGACTCTTTTTCTGATTCCATCTCTTCTACTACATAAATTTGGATTTACTAAATCTAGTTAGAAGGCGGATTTAAGAATCCAACTGGATGTGGATTGCTTGAGAGTTTATTTGGAATAACAGCAAGCAAATATAGATTTGTTACAAAAGAAATAACTTTTTTGAAAACTCATACATACATCAACAATAACAACAAGCCATTAACCCATTAAATGGGAGGGCAGCAACATGATTCTTTTTTGTTCATTGTCAGATCTCAAGCCCCAAATTAAAAAAATGATGTTTACATTAAGAAGTCATCGACAACTAGTGCACAAATTTTTGTTGAAAAACTATAACATCAGTCATTCAAAATCATTTAAAAATTAATATGAATATTATAAATATTTTTTTTTTTTAAAACAATTGAACAATAATTATTTTCCAACTGCCACATAAAATTAGATTTAATTAAGAAAAGCAGATTCAAATCATAAAAAATGTTTTAAAATTTGAAAAGAAAATAATAATAAAATGGGTGCGACAGAGAAGTGAGAAAATTGTTATTTTTTATTTGGCTTTTAATCATTTAATCAACAATAAAATTAGATGTCTTTATAACGACTTATGTTGGACTTCCATAGCTACACCTAAAAATGTTAGCCTAATTTTCTATAAATAAAAATTCTACAACTATATTTATAGACAATACACCATCCTCAAATGAGAAAAATTATTGCATCAAGAGTTCTGATGCAATTTTGCATCAGAACTTTAGTCATGATCTGCCGCGTGTACAGGCAGACCCACTTTAGTAAAAAAACTTAATTTAATACATGAGTGGGTATGTCTATACACGTGGCCGGTCCTGATTGGAGTCCTAATGTAAAACTACATCTAGGCTCCTGATGTACTAATTTTTCCTCAAATGAATTGGGAGCATAATCTTGTCATGTGCAATATTCCTTTTTTTTTTATTTTAATTCTTTTGCACATATATGATGTAAATTACTTTAAAGACAAGGCAAACGCGTAGCTTAAGAGTCAATTATCACTCAGCATGTTTAAGAAGACAAAAAAAAGGGAAGATTTACATATATAGCGCTCATATCCTATGTATTTACATATCTAACTCCTAAACTTCCATTTTTACATAAATACCCATTTTACCTATGCATGCAAAGGTGTATTCACTTTTTAAAAGTTAAAATGATAGTATTTTTAGGAGATGAAAGATTTGGGTGCTATAAATGTGAAAGGTATAACTTAGATGATACATACTACACATTAGGAATTGGGCGATATGTATGTAAAGGCCCCAAGAAAAAAGCTAATATACACGTTAACTAAAAAATTTGCTTTTTCTCACAACTACTCTACAATATTTTTTTGAAAGATTTACATACATACCACTCAATTTATATGTATTTACATATTTAACAACTAAATTTCAATTTTTACATACATACCATCCTACCTATGCTTGAGAAGATGCATTTCACTATTTAAAAGTTAAAATGAGGGTGTTTTTGATGTAAGATATGAAAAATTTGGGTGGCATAAATGTAAAACCTAAAATTTCTATGTAAATGCATAGGAACTGGGTGGCATGTATGTAAAATCCCCATATTTTCTTCACACAGCTACAGTTGGGCTAAATGGACCACTACATAGTACTTTTAAGGATTTAGATATTTTCCTTATAAAATCAAATGCCTAAAATCTGGATTTAAAGGCAGTCATTGGACAACAAATAAATATTCCATTGCCCCCACAACTAGACACAGAAAATGTGCTGTGTAACAGCTACTGATTATCTACCACGCCCAATAAGAAACCCTACAAAAACAAAACTATAACAAGGACCGCAATTTAGCAAAAGATATAGGAGAAAAAGGAAAAAAATCACAAGGCCATACCTCTTCTTAGAGTTGGAATCCTGTGGGCTTCTTTCCTTCAGAAAAAGTCATCCTGTACATTGGTTTCACCCTTTTTGTGTTGGTTTAAGGAGCTGAAGGAGCAGAGAGATGAAGCTGATGTTTCAATGCCCCTGCTGTTCTTGCTTCTGCTTCTTAAAGACTAAAAAAAGCAAGCCTAAGGAGGAGGAGGCCAAGAAAGACTGATAATAGTGTAGCCTCGATCGATTTTCGTGAAGACGAAGAGAGATTTTGATAAATGTCAGCTGCAAAATGATCTGAGATCTCTGTTTCTGGATTTTATTTTATTGATAGTGTGGAGTTTTTCGAGTCAGTTTTTCTTCTTTTTGAAATTTCTAAGGTTTTGTGAGATACCCATCTCTTCAATTTGTTGTTCTACTGATACCAAACCAGTCTGTGCCAGAAAGCTGCATGGTGAAATTTGTATCTGGTTAGATGTATGTGATTCTGCTAATATGGGTTTCAAATGCTCATATCTTTTATTGATTGTTTGAAGAAAATTAATTCAAAATCAAATTAAAGGCATCATGAATTGCAAAAAAAAAATTAATTAAAAAAAAATATTTACATACATACCACTCAATTTCTATGTACTTACAAATCTAGCGCTTAGACTTTAATTTTTACATAGATGCTGCCTTAATTATGCATGAAAAGTTGTGTTTCGGTTTTTAAAAGTTAAAATGGTGTATATAATGTAAAAAATAAAGTTTAGGTGATAGATATCTAAACACATAGGAATTGGATGGTATGTATGCAAATGCCGCTACAAAAATGCATGCTAGAAATTCCGTATTTGAAGAACAAAATGTATGCAGATCAAAGGAAATTAGGCATTTCACTGAAATTGATGGAATCGCTGGAGTCGTTAAGCCACTTATCTGTGTGAAAACGAGCATGGTTAAATAATGGTTTCAAGAATTTTAGAAAATAACAACAAAACCAAAACAAAATTCCTATTGAATAAAAGAGGGACAAAGGGAGGCATTTTTAAGTGTAAAATCTTATTAAAAAAAAAGAAAAATCTGAACCAGAGAACTTGAGAGAGACTCAAGAGAGAGTATAAATTCAACAATGGCATACACGATGTCTATATAGAGAAAAAAAAAAGTAGCTGTTTGTAGCTGTTTTAAATTTCAGAGTCGTTGAGCTAAGGGAAGAGGACAATAAAACGATATTGGAGAGAAAAAGTAAAATTATATAACTAACTGTATGATTTGGTGAATTCAGATGGTGAGCACTTAAGGGAAGAGGACAATAAAATGATATTGGAGAGAAAATGTAAAATTATATAACAAACTGTATGATTTGGTGAATTCAGATGGTGAGCACTGTAGGGGTAAAAAGGTAATTTATGCTTGAGTCTTTGAGGCATAAACCACTTTATACAGAGATCCATATTTTTAAAAAATGGTACAATTAAATTATGCTCCTAAGATTGGTTTCCAATATTCAAGATGATCACTAACAGAAAGTATTATCAACTTTTCATCGTTATATAAGGTCATGTGGCCTTGCACGTGATAAATTTAGGTATTCTGTTGTGGAAAAATGACAAATATACATTCCAGAGTCCCTCCTCTAATGTCATTTACATGTTCTTTTGGTGCAGGCTATAAGAAGATAGGAGTGGAAAATATAAGTCAAGCAATTAGAGATTCATGCGTGTTTTTTATTAGAAATATTTACGTACATAGCACTTAATTCATATTAGAAATATTTATTACAATAACAACTATAAGCAAAATTCACATCAATAAAATAAATACAAATCCAAAGTTCAGTTTTGGTCATTTGTCCTTGTAGAAATACTATATTCCAGGTACCTAGGCACATCATTTTCAAATTCATAATTTTTATTGATGAGATCGATTCCAAAGCGAAAGTTTTCAACTGCTAAAGAGTACATTGAAGATAAAATGTAGGATTAACAGAACAAAATTAAGTAAAAAACAATCAATTCAGTCATTAAAGTGTGAAAAGGTTCACTACCTTAATCTAAATGATCTTTGTTTCCCTAGTTGATCTGACTTCACTTACTATAAGTTTTGAGAATATAGCGAAATACTTTATTGATATGAAAAAAATGGTATAAATACACCTTACATGAGTCCTCATATAGGAAAGACATGAAAAAAAAAACTAGAAAATAAAGACAAAACACTTAGATTACAAACAATCAATTCCTAGTAATTGCTTGAAGATAAAAAGAAAATGCATTAAAATAGGAAAGGAAATAAATCCAAATAATAAAGCAAATAAATATAATCTTCATAACAGCTGCATTTCCCCCAAGTTGAAGCAAAGATGTAAATCATGTTCAACTTGGTTTAAAGTCATCAAACAACGGACAAGGAAGATTCTTTGTGAGAATATCCACCAATCGGCTAGCAGATGGGGCAAACATAAAACAAATCTCCACGAACTTGAGCTTCTCCTTGATAAAGTGACTGTCAATATCCACATACTTGTTAAGATCATATTGGACTAGGTTATAAGCAATACTAATGATGGTTTTATTATCAAAAAACAATAACAAAGGAGCAGTGACCAGCATACGTAACTCGCGTAGTATGATGCGCAACCAAAGGACTTCATACACCCTCAAAGTATGATAATCAATATGACGTGAAAACCGTTAGCACTGCTATGGGAACCACAAACTTTTTTCTACTTGTCCAAGTGACAAGGTTATCCCATATGAAGAAGCAATAAATCGAGGTAGACCGTCTATCATAGACATACCCGGCCCAATCAACATTCATATAAACCATAACAGCTAGATTTAGGGCGAGTGAATAACAAACCTAAACCCGGAGTGCATTTTAAATAGTGGAGAATCCGATGGACAGCGATGAGATAATGCTCGTAGGGACCATGCATAAACTGACTGAAGATACCTACGGTGTGACGAATGTCCGGGCACGTGTGGGTGAGATAAATAAGCTTACTCACGCAGCGTTGGTAGTGTTTTGTTCACCGGAACGACATTGGGAACATCCAATAATTTTTCATTTGGGTCCATCGGGACGTCTACAGGTTTACAATGAACGACATTGGGAACATCCAATAATTTCTCATTTGGGTCCATCGGGACGTCTACAGGTTTACAAAGAAGAAGCTTGGTCTCGGCCAATAAATACATCATATATTTGTGTTGGGAAAGACAAATATCCCGAGAGGACCGAGCTACTTCCATGCCCAAGAAATATCAGAGGAAACCTAAGTCTTTCATCTCAAAAAACGCGGCGAGAATGCCTGAGCACAATGTCGTCAACATAGACAATGAGGATGGCAATACGACCAATGGATGAACGGCGAAAAAATAGCATGCAATTAGATTGGGTCTGAAAGAACCCATAGCCCACTGCCACCTGCATAAACTTTTTCAACCAAGCCCATGGTGATTATTTCAATCCATAGAGAGACTTTTGCAATCGACACACTTGTCCACGAGAAGAAGTCGAGTCAAATCCCAATGGGAGACATATAAACCTTTTCAGCGAGATCACCACCAAAAAAAGCATTCTTAATGTCCAGCTAAAGTAGGGACCAATCCAGATTCACAACCAGTGATAATAGAACCCAAATAGTATTTAGTTCAAAGCAAATACTTCTTCATAGTCAACCCCATAAGTTTGTGAATATCCTTCGGCGACCAACCATACTTTTTGTGTTCAAAGGACCCATCGGAGTTAAACTTAGTGTTGAAGATCCACCGATAGCACATCGCTTTCTTTCCCTGGGGAAGATCAACCACATCGCAAGTATGGTTGCGCCGATGAGCATTCATCTCATCTATGACAGCAGCTCTCCAAGATGGGTCGACATGTTCTATAGTGGACGAGAGAAGATGATCTGTCAAGGAAGTAGCAAATGCTTTGTAAGTTGGAGAAAGGCTATGCAACAAGAAGTAATTTGTCATGGGATAAAGAGTGCATGGTTGTATCTATTCGTGTATCTCAATAGGGAGATTCACATCTTCACTCAGATAGAGGGTGGTGGTGATGTTGGCCCAATTAGTGGCAAATCCATCAGTGTCGAACGTGCACCGGACACCGTGGTAGTAGGAAGAATGTCCAACGGACTCAGAAGAGGAATAGCATCCAAAAACTCAAGCTCTCCCACACTCGAGGTGGTGTTAGGAAAGAATGGGACATTTCAAAAAAGGTTACATCGGCACTAACATAGATTTTATTGGTGGTAGGATCCAGACATCGATAGTCTTTTTTAATAGTGAAATAGCTAAGGAAGACACCTTTAATTGAGCGGGAATCAAATTTACTACGAGTCGGGGTTGTGTTCTGAGCAAAGATCGTGCAACCAAATATTTTGAGATCTAAAGTGAAAAAAGACTGGCTTATAGAAAAATATGACATCAAGACGGATAATGATGTCCGAAAATTGTGGATTTTTGTAAAAATTCTATTGATGAGATGAGATAGTTGACGGCGAAGATGGCATCATTCCAAAAATATTTAAGGACATTGGTTTGAAACATAATGGAATGAGCAACTTCAAGAAATGTCTATTTTTTCGCTCAATTACCACGTTTTGTTGATGGGTATCCGTACAAGAGCTATGAAGGAGGATGTCATTACTCACTAAGAATTCTCCCAATATAAAGTACTCACGACTATTATGGGTCTGAATGACTTAAATCAGTATTTTGAATTGGGTTAGAATGGAGTTAAATTTTTTAAAAATGACCATAGCTTTAAATTTATCTTTTAATATATAAACCCTAAGACATCCGGGTGTGGTCATCAATTAGAGTAAGGAACCATCTTTAATTGATATAATTCGCAAGATTCTGAGGAGTCGAAAGAGTG